TGTGTGTATTTGTGTGTGTGCATGTGTCTTCAGGAACTAGAAAATGAGGTCAGTAAGTAGGGAACAGGTGTTGGCAGGCGGGCAACGGGATCATCGGATGGCCCTGGTATGACTTCAGTCTCAGATGTCTCGTCTGAAAAGAGAAGTTAGGGGATGGAAGACGAGGAGGAGAAGAGGTGGGAGAGGATGAAACAGCAGAAGGACAGGAAGAAGAGAGAGGACAGTGGAGGAAGGTGGGAAAAGGGAGGGGGGGTGGAAGAAGAGAAAGATAAAGAGCAGAGAAGAGTGCTGGGTAGGTAGCGGAGGAATGACAGGAAAGAGCTCAGCATGAAAGATCATCAATAGTTAGAAACTGTGCCAACGTGCATCTTGGGGAGAAGAAACTACTCTGCATAGAGATGACCCTGATCTGTTGGAAAGACTTAGGGATGGAGGGATGGAAGGAGGAGTGGACAGTTGGGACGAAAGGCTGTTCTGATCTATTCTTGGGCTGACCCCACCATCCCCCATCGTACTGGCGCTACGTGAAACCGGACCTCGGGCCCGTCCCTCAGAGAGGGAGGGTGGGCTTGATGTGAGGGGGCGGTCATGCTGAGTTTTAGTAACAGGGGTCATAACGGACAAACTCACTGTGTGAAGATTTGATCCTGAGTTGCATCGCTGGTTTGCAGGCAGACTCATTCTCCAATGTATGTGCAACATGTGTAGAAATGCTGCACACAGGTAGATGTACAGCCACAGAAAATCATCCACCCACAGAGAAAAACAAGCAGTCCACCACCAGTGGTCATAAATTATTATATTCGCCATGAAAAAGTTCAAGCGTGGGCCTTGATTTTTGATAAAAAAAGGGCTCACGATGAGTAATACACCGGCTCTTTGCTGAGACAAGAGAAGCACGGATGCCTATGACAAAGATGATCATTACACTCATGTCCAAACGCACGGAGGCTCTCGTTTCTCAATCACTGTAAAGGAACTGCCACTGACAGAGACACAGATACACACATTCTGTTAGTAAAAAAACATTCCCTTCCTCACAAATCAGTCAACACTTCTCATAATCTATGTCTTTAATAAATGCATCCTGCTCTGCATGATCAGACTATTACAAGATCCCATCATTCAGTTTTACTCCATAGGCTGTTATCTCATAAAAAACTGTGCTTAGATTGAATGTCTGTCAGCCCATTTGCAAAAGCAATCAACTTGAGCATCTGTAAAAAAAAAAAACTAAAAAAACAATTGCCCATAAAAGACAGCACCCTATAAAGAGTGACCCTGAAAATAATCTTGGACAGGCTCCCTCTCTCTGCAGACACACACACACACACACACACACACACACACACACACACAATGAACAGTG